TCTCCAAAGAGTTCCTGAGACCAAAAATGGTGGCCCTTCTTTTCCAGCAGCTGGCATCCAAAAGATCTTGAGACCAGTCCTGAAAGGCTTGCTGCTATGCCAGGGGTCCTGGTGGCTTTTGAGAGGAAGATAGAGAACTATTCTGGAAAATGTCAAGTGGTAGTAGAGGTGAGTCTCTGACATGCAGAATTTATCTAGGGACTACACATTCATTTTCTCTTTTTAATTAAGAGGTTGTAAAATATTACATCATACATTCACCTAAGGCAGTTTGAAAATCTTTTGTTTTTGTCTAAAAATTTTAATCAGTAGAAAATAGGAGAGCAAGTAGTATTCCCTCTTTCACACAAAACCAAATACACTGAAATTTGAGGGAGAATAAGTACATTGAAATTTCAGTGATGGAATCTTCAGCAATCCTGTTTTCTTTAAAAAGAGCACAATAACAATACTGGGAAAAGACATTGTAAGTAAATGCCATGTTTATATTTTGAGTGTAAAATAGACTTGGATGAAATTTTTAAAAAATGTATTAATTTGATTTTATTCATGACCTCTGATCGTCCAAAGACCTTGTTCTCCAGGAGGAGTGGAGGATGCTAATCAGGAGAAGGTCTCCGCAGGTGCCCTGGCGAAGCTGCGTCTGGATAGTGATTTATTTTGGAAGAATGCAGGATTAATATAGCCCCCTCTAATTATTTTATTGTTTTGGGGAATGGGAATTATATGGACATGATACAATCTTCAAGGGGTACAAAAGGCGTGAAGTGAATAGTCTCCTTCCCATTTCTGTCCCTTGGTTACCCAGTTTCCCTCCACAGGAACAAACATATTAATCAGTTTCTTATATATTCTTCCTGCAATATTTTATGCATACATACAAAGATACAGGTAGTGTATAGTTTAGCTGTTTTCATATCCTTACACAATAATAATCTTTTGACCTGGAGGTAAGATTCTTCTCCCCAACCCCCAATTCCTCTGAAATTGGGTAAAGGGTTTTAATTTACATAGTTTTATCTTTCTTCTTCCAGATATAACATAGACATGTAGTATCCTTCAGTTACATACTAATATGTAAGATTGTATGGATTATTATTTAATATTTTGTTTTTTTGCCACTGGGAATTTGGAAAATCTAATTGCTTCCTTGTAACCTAATCACTTGCAGCAAAGCAATTAGTAATCTCAGTCCTTTATTTTGTAGCTGCTCTTCTTTTTTTCCACTTACTCTATTTTTAAAAACATTCACTAAGTCCCAAAAGGCAAGTCAGTGTACACATAAAAGTTTATGAAAACTATTCAGATAGCTCTCTGAAATAGTTCTTTAGTATGAATTTTACTTTAACAATAAAGGACCTGTTGACCAGGTACTTATGAGTATCTGAGGGAGAAAGTGCAGTAAACCCTGTAAACACGGATAGGAGGTAGGTCCTGAGACAGAGGGAAAGGGCACAGAGGTGATGGAGAGGCCCACTGCGCCATAGTTCTTGCAATGGCCACTGATCCTGGACTGGACCGGACTTGGCTTTCATTGAGCGAGGAGAGAAAGAAGCGAACCCCAAGGTAGTGGTATCACCTAGCTGGATTCCTCAGAGGGCTCTGCTGTCCAAGATTCTGGAAGATGAAAGAAAGGAATAAGTTTGACAAGTTTTATTCTCAGGAGAATGAATCATTAACTTGGAATTTCAGGTGGCCTGTCATTTATCGTGCTATTTCTGACTGTGACTTAAACTTGGGCATGTTTTGTTTCTCTCTGTTTCTGTTACTTTTTATCTTCACATTTATTTCAAGGCTCTTTAGTAAAACTGTTTTTTCTGTGCTCCTCAGTTACCTTTTTTTGGACTGGAGATGCCTTATTGACATAAAACAGTGATTTTTTTTTAAAACATACACAGTACTATTACATAAAAGTAAAATTTCCTATTGCGTCTGTTTGCCTACTTATTGATTCAGCCTGTTATTTTTTTTGTTATGGTTTAAGTTATGTAAATCTATTAAACAAATGCCAATTAAAACTTCAAATTGAACCCCAGTTCTCTTCAGTCTTTGTAAAACAAAAAACTTAGAACTCTTTTAGAATATAGATTTACTTTTTTTAGTGCAAAAACTAGGATGGATGAAATGTTTTCTACTTAGAAAGTTTCAGGTATAGAAATACTCATCTTTGTTAGATTGTGATGACACTATGTTAGCCCATAGAGGCTTTTCAGTATTTCAGTTCAAATAGTATTTTTGAATTTTAGTGGTGTATGAGGCTTTGGGCCCGTGTTATACTCTATGTATACTGTAACATTCATTGTACTGCCCAGTAGAGAAACTATAACCTCTTTGTGCTTCAGTTTCTTTATCTGTAAAAGGAAAACTGTGCCTCTAAAGCAAAGAGCCTGCTGTTGTAAGTCTTGCAGGACATAGTCCCCATTTCCATTGGCTGCAGCCTGAGATACCTAAACTGAGGTTGGTTTTATCAAGAGTTAGGTACTCCTGGAGTATTAACTCGGGTCTGTTACTTAACCTGCAGCTTCAGTTTCCTTTCCTGTCAAATTAGGGTAATAAGGCCCAAATCAGGGTTTTCTAAAAATTAAAAATGGCATACACACACACACACACACACACACATATGTGTGTATATATATATACACACACATACACATACATACATACGTACATATATGTACAATTTATATAATACATATAATGAATAATTCATATTTATATATAAAAATATTGAGGCTAATGCTTGTCATTACAGTTGTTAGGCTATTTTCATTATTTTCTTGAAATTACTAGACAGAGTTTGCTGTTCAAGGCCAATGGAATAAATCTTCATGTTTTATAAGACCCTTAATTGTAGTGTCTCGAAACTTTGAGGATAACTAGTTTGTACCATATTCCTGTCACCTTCCCCAATTCCAGCTTCTGTTTTTTTCTCCCCTGGCTCTAACCATCTCCAAATTGCTTAAGCTTTTATCTCCATGATCCTTTCATTACTGACCTTTGTTCCCCTCTACCCTCTTCTATTTTAGAAACCTAGAAACCCCTGAGCTTACCAGTGTGTCCACTCTCCTTGCAGAATGACCTCTCCGCGTCTGTGGTGTCATTGAATCCTCATTTCCCCATCCCAGCTACCAGACAAACACCATGCACCTGTACCCAGTCATTGTCGGCAGTCGTCTCCTGTACAGACGGCTCATTATTTCACATCACTTCTCCCTCAGGGATTTTTATACTTCTTTTTCCTTTTCCTAATTGTAATAGCATCCCTAGAACAGCATTAAATAATTTGGTGTAATGTACATGCATGCCTTTATCCTAATTATTTTTTATTTTGCCAAAAAAAATTAATGACCTTTTATATAAAATATACACAATCATATTCATTGAATAAAAGATATTGCTGATTATAAGAAGCACCTCCATTTTATGGACTAAAAGAAAAAATGAACAATTAGAGGATACCATCAGTTGTAAAATGCATTCTTATTTCATAAATGTTAAATGTGAAGAAAAATGTAATTAAGGATCAGTGAAAGATGGTACGTATAGTAGGTACTGTTTTTATTAAATTTTTGTTAAGTAAACATAAATGTTAAATAAAATGGAAAATATTTTTTCTTCTTTCAGAAAGAGTGAACTATACTGAAAGTTCCTCGGCTCTTCTCCCTACACGCAGAATCACATGTTAGCTTTACTTACACTGACTTCATGCTAGCACGCGTCTTGATGTAGTAGAGCCCTCTGACCCTGTACTGTCAGGTCACCTTACACAATTCTTTTCTCCCATCTTTAAGACTTCTGAAGCTTGGATTTATTTTGCCTTAGCTCCTGTTTTCTCTCCAAAGCTAAATAACAAAAAGCCTTTAATTCTTTTTTGGTTTACTAGTTCTTGTTTCCCAGCTCCCTATTACTTCCCTTTTTCATTGTCTCTAGAGGAATAACTTGGAACTGTTTCATTTACTCAAGAGTGTACTTATTTTGAGGTGGGGCGGAGGAGACATCTAGGCGTGAGTGTGTATTTGCATATCTTGAGTCACTGTATCTTTCATTTGAAGGAAGATGGTGTTGTGGACACTTGAGGGCTACAAGTTAAGGTCGACATCTGGTAATCTGTTAAATCTGGATTGTCTTCTTGGGAGAGCGGGAGTATGTCTAGGAAACCAGGAAAAAACCCTGATCTTTCTGTCATTTAAACATTTTAAGGAACTCAAGCTGTATGTAAATGATGTAAAACAGTAATAGAATAATGTTTTGTTTGTAGACATTAATTTACCTCCTAATGTAATAGAATTCTCAGGAACTACTGTTTGCCTAGTCCTTACTCAAGATGATACTAAAATTTAATTAAACTGGTTGAAATGATTATCAAATTATTTATGCCTCCTGAGTAGTGGTTCTTACTCTTGAGGTGTGTAGATTTTAGAGAGAAGGTCCTGTGAATCAATGAACTGAACTTGTATGTAAAGTTTGGCCACTGGGCAATTTCTGTAGGGAGAGGATCCATAGCATCGCAGAGGTTAATAACCCCAGAGAAATTGATCCACTCCTGCAGAGTTCTAGGTTGGTGCTGTTTCTCTTCTCTGTGCTTTCCATTTGATCCCGCAAGAGTATTTAAAGCTCAAAACAAAGAATATTTGATCTTTAGTTGTTAGCCTTGGAAATGGCAGTGTTATTCAAGTGATATATTTAAGACAGTATTACTGCCCACAAACTACCAGGGGATCCACTTTTAGGAAGTACTGGATATAAATACAGATGGTATTGTTTTCATAGAAAAAGACATTAGGGAACTATGGATCCACAGATGTTGAAAAAATGTGAAAGACTAAAAAATGCTTCTGTTCTAAACTTTAATAGTTATAATTTAGTTTTCTAAGGAGAATATATATTGGAAATAATAAATGTTCCTTGATTTTTTTTGTATATATGTGTGGGTGTGTCTAGGAATTACTTTTTAATGTTCATATGAGTAATGAAAATACTTGATTTTTTTTTAATTACAGTGCATGCAAGATATGGGAAATACTAAAGCAAGACTCCTCTATGAAGCCAATCTCCCAGAGAACTTCCGAAGACCGCAGACAGATCAGTATCCTTTGAAATTTCTTTATTGTGGGTTTTAAAAGAATTAACTCATTTTCAGTTCATATTTTAACTGGTTAGTTAGGAAGATGTGAACTTTATCATACTGTTGTTCATTAAAGATAGAAATTGATGTGCCCTGAGCTGTGCTTTGTTTAACACATGGTCTGCATAGTGTTGTTGTGTAATTATTACTAAGTGTAAAATATTTTGACTGATTCTTCTTGATCGATTGCCTATTCGTGAATGGAGAGTATATGTTCTTATTATTTAGGATTATTGATTATTAGAGATTTGATTTGTGAGCATCTGGAGTGTTTTTAAAAATAATTTCTAAAGAGATTTTCTCTGATCACCTTTATGTAATTATATTTTTACGTGAAGCAGTTTGGCACATATAAAAGGCAAATTTCATAGTGTAGGTAGAAGTGCTTAAGTAATTTATGCTAATATTTCTGTTGACATTTCATGTTTGTGAAAGGTCACAGCACAGCGTCTGCTTTACAGATCTGCCCTTACATACACAGATATTTCCTCACAAGCATTTTAGTCAGAATGTTGTTTTTCACATTTGTTAAAGATAAAATCATTGATCGTATAGTATTTCCCCAATTCATATTGAAGTTTGAGAAAGTAGCTCATCAAAATTGTGTTGTTCTATAATCAGATTATCTAATTATTTGTAGGTATTTGTGATTCTGTCTGAAGATGACACTTGCAATTTTGACAGTAGACTAGTTTCTTAAAGGTCAGTTATATATTACCCATAATGAAAGTGTGAAAAAACATGACATTTTAAGGTTTTGATGTGACAAGTTTTATGGGGCAGGTGGCAGAAGAACCTTCTTTTCTAGATTGTGAAGGGTTTTCAGTACCTTACAGAGCAGTTTGGATTTCATTCCATTGGCCCAAAGGGTTGGAGGATTTGAAAAGTCACGAAGGCTTTTGAAGTTGCTGAAACAGTAGGAACAGTAATTTCTACCGCAAGGAAGAATAGTTGGAAAATCTTGGAATCAGAGAGACCGTGTGAAATGTTTGTATAGCCCTGAAATGAGCAGTGTTGAAGATACGAATTAGATAGTGGCATTGAAAACAGACAGAAATGCATTGAGAAGATTGGAAAGGAACTGGGGAAGTGGGAGCAGCTGGGTTAGGTTAGATTGGCTTTGTTCCTGAAGAAGACGCTGAGATGACCCCAAACTTTCAGCTCAGCTGAGGTTCTTCAGGTCAGGTAAAGCTTATTCTGATGAGAGAAGGAATTCAGCACCAGATAAGTTTAAGGGCCAGAAATGGAAGATAATGAGTCGTGCCTCACTACTTCAGGCAGCTCCAGGTGTCTGTTGGACATACACGTGGAGGTGCCCATTTTGTAGCTGGAAACGTGCATCTGGGCGGTAGAACAAAGCAGGAAATCTAGAGTCACTCATTGAGCATGCAGGCCGTAGAGAGGTGCTGGGTGAACTTCCCTGTACCTTTTTTAGGAATTGTTTTATTGAGAGTCTGGGAAATGCTGTTTCCCTGCCCCCCTGGAAGGTCTGGGGCAGAGCCCGGGGAGCAGAGCGAGCTGGAAGGAGAGTGGCAGAGCAAACACGCGGCGGCCTGCACGGCTGTTACCGGCGGCTTGCTAGTTGCCTTCATTCATTCCTCTTCTTCCGGCTCCTCACCCCCAAGTCTGAGTTGACATGTAAGGGTCCTCAGATTGAAGACTGTCCCTTTTCTGGAATTTGTGTGCATGTATTTGGGGCTTAGTTGGGTTTGAGTTGGGTTTTGTGGACTTCTCTCGACTATTACAGGGTAAATTACTTTACTTGAGGTTCTCAAAATTTTGGGTAGTGACTCTGTAGGTCACTTGGTGCCTCGCAGAGGCAAGTGGCTTCCACGTTGCTTAATCTTTGTCACTATGATTCTGTGCTGTTTTCACATAAGCCTTGAATATAATCAGGGAAGGATAATATATAGCTTCTTGGTATCCTCTTATAGTCACCTTTTCTATGCATGTATGAGTTCATTTTGCACATGTTGGTAGGAATACTGTTTCTTAAGTAATTACCACCAATTATATGACAACCTTTATAGAAGTAAAAGATTGATGGGCCAGTGAGTTACTAGTCCTGGTATTTTTGCTGATATATTTTTAAATATTCGATCCTTATCTAAATGTTGTAGGAGAGATGAGATTTTATAGTGAATTGATTAGAGTCTGGTATCAGTCTAAACCCTTGACCCTTGACCCGGTGAAGATATAATGTTGAAACCATAGCCATGGTGGCTTTACTGCCTAGAAATGGTTGGCTGTCTGCCGAATACTGAGCTTTACATTTTATGTACATTATCTTTTTTAATTCTCAAAATAACCCAGTGAGATAAAGCATAATGTTTTAATTTGGGGGCCGGATGGATAGAGTGGAATGCTCAAAGAGCTGTAAGAAACCTCCCAGAGCCTCTAGCCTTCCCCTCCTGAATAAGGCACTTGCGTGTTACTCAGTGACGGTAGTCTTGAGTAAAGCCAGTGTTGCCACATTTGAGCTTTGATGACCTTTAAAAAAATAGAACTGACTCTTGAATGAGGCGATTAGGGTCGCAGACTCCGTCATGCTGTCAAAAATGTGTGTTAACTTTTGACCCCACTCCCACCCCAGTTCAGCCTGCTGTTGACTGGGGATCCTTACTGATAGCATAAACCGGTGAGTGACACATACTTTGTATTTTAAATGTATTATATACTGTATTCTTACAACAAAGCAAGCTAGAAAAAAGAGAAAGTTTTTTCAAATTGTCACAAATCTCCAAAAATTTTCCAATATTTTTATTGAAAATAATACATATGTAAGTGAACCCATGCAGTTCAAACCTGTGTTGTTCAAGGTTCAACTGTAGATTGGCATATGGTTTGGGATTCTTTGCAACTAGATGATAAGGTCCATGTGCAGTTTCAACTTTGGACTATCTGGTATGGTATTTTTGCCATTGTTAGCTCAAGCATGCTTACTTGATTCAACCTAGATGTTACTTCTTGTAAAGTATATACAAATTGTCGTATTTATGTGAGGTGTTCACCTCTTTCTATTCACAAAAAGATAATCTAATATGTGACAGAAACTACTTAAAGAGGGATTTTGTCCAAACAAATATGAGGTAGACAGTGACTACTAATGTAAGAGTATAAGATGACATCTCTTGGACTGTGAGACCAGCCCCTTTTCTAATGTCATACTGTAGCCTTAAAAGAATTTTTTTACCTTAGCTATCAGAGCAACATCTCTTTTCTCCCTTCCAATTGATTTGGAGGTTTTATTTGGGAGACTAGTAAGAAAATCAGTCCTCCTTTTTTTCATAAATCATTCTAAAGCTCAGTGCTCTTAGAAAAGTCTAACATTTCTGCGCTTTTTTGGATTTAAATATTGTCTCATCCGTAGAGGCAGTGGAACCAAATTGAGTAAAACTCACATAATATGGGACTTCACTGCATTCTTAACAAGATTTGTCACTTTTTAAAAGCTTTACAGTTACTCAAGTTATGCAGAAGCCACAGTGAGAGTGTAATGTCTCGTGTGGTTAATTATAGCTGCATGTACTAGTGCATGACAAATGATAATGCTTTACATTAAGCCTTTCATTATTGTGATATTTCGTCTTATCTAAAACTTTAATTACTTCAGTTCCGTGAGATCTGTTGTGCACCAAAGCTAATGAGCAGCTCTTTTCCTTTGAGCTTTTCAGAGTTTTACTGCTGTCAGTGGTACTTGTCTGGAACTGGAAGATTTTGCTTCTTGGGAGTAAAATGTTAATTTAATTGTCTTTTAAATGGTATCTCCAAAGAAGGGGAAAAAATATTAAATTGCAAATACATATGTGTTAAAAGATAGACCAATAGTAATGAGATTTCCCTGGGCTTGTAAAATGCCATTTGTTTGCTTTGAGGACAGGCAAATAAAGTGCTATGCAAAATGCTGTGCCTGTAGATAATGTTTAACTTGTATTTACAATCATGAGCAAACTCAAATTTAGTCGATTTACATGTGGAACAGTTTGAGTAAAATGACATTTTGCATTTTATGAAAGTTTTGGCATATTTGTAGTAGTTTTTGGTATGAAATTGGCTGCCAAAATACATTTCTAAATAACTCTTGTGGCAACTCTGGGTTATTTCACTTGAAAATGTCTCCAAGGCTACTTTGAAAATGAAGGTGCCCTCCAAATTTGACATTCTTCTCTAGATTTTAAAGCATTTATTTTCATTAGCAGAAGTTAACTGACTGACAAACGAACTCCTCCTGACCAGTAACATTCTGAAAAGGTGGGTGTCAGACATTCCTGATTTCATCTTTACTCCCTTGTACTCTAGATTCCCAGAGACTTCTAAACTTTCTGCTGTGCCAGTTTTAGTTTTGAAATGGCACCTTCATTATAGGTTGTTAATTAGGTACAGTGTCTTTCATATATTCAGGCTGTAGAAAACTGTCTTAAAAATAGCTTTCCATCATTCAGCTTACTTAATAAATTGAATGTTTTAGATTCCCTGTCTTATTTGACTTCCCTGGCCTCCTTTGAGTGCTTTCATAATGTCCAACTCTTTAATATCTCCTGTATATTGGTCTGTCAGCGCTATCACCTGTTACCTCGGTTGTCAATTTAAAAGGCTTTTATTAACTTATGATAAGGAGTTATTGACTGAAAATCTGTTGTTTTACTGCTTCAGGTAACTTTTCTTTTGAACAAAAGGATGTCTTAACTTGATAATCCAAGGAGAGATTGTATTTCAGTGTAATTCAGTTCTTTTGTAATTCTGTGTATTTTACATTATGCATTAAAAAGCACTCTCCCAGGAAGGAACCCAGAGCATTACCTGACTACCAAAAGGGGTTCCTGGCACTAACAAGGTTAAGAATTCCTGATGGAAGATTCCCCTTTGGGGTGGAATACAATAGAGCAGTGATTGACAATGTAAGAGAAGTCATCTACTCCGGGTAACTCAGAACTCTCATATATCCCACTAGATGTGGCTCTCACTCTTTCAAACTGGTAAGGCTAGGCCAGCCAACTTCAAAAAATTAAACACATTAACTTTAGTTTTAGCTTCTTGATTTCTCCATTCCTCAGCTTTGCAAGAAAAAAATTGGCCACCATTTTTCTGTGACACAGAATCACCTGTGATCCAAAACAGAGACACTCCGGCATGGTAGGAAAGAACTTAACTATCGAATCACACTTGCTTAATCTTTCCAAGTTGCTGATTCTTCATCTATGATGCGGAAGTAATAATATGCACATGATTGGGTTTTGGAAAGAGTAAAGGAAACAAACGGACACAGTGACACAATGTCTGGTACATTGTGGGAACTCTGTGGGTATTATTTTATGATACTGAAGATCTAAAATGAACTTTAATTGCATTTAGAGTTTGCTGGGTTTGGAGGGCTGGAGAATATGATGGAAGTGAGAAGTGTGGTCACTTTTCTTTCTGGAATTGGGTTGGGTGATTTTGTTGAATGAGGAAAAATTCCTGGAAGAGATAAGATTTTCTTTGGCAGAAAGAAAAATAGGTTACAGAATGTAGTTGCAAAAGTAGTGTGAGAGGAAAGCGTAGACTGGGGAGGAAGAAAATTGAATTTAGAGTCTAGGCTTTGTGGACAGGAATGAATAAAGCAGACTGTACATGTCACTGAACTCATGGTTTTCCTTAAGTTACCTGTTTTCAGAGCAGTGGAATTTTTCATCAGAGATAAATATGAAAAGAAGAAATACTATGATAAAAATGCTATAGCTATTACAAATGTAAGTAAAACCTTCATCCCTATTACCAACTGATGTTTGTTGAATAGATCTAAACTTTTATTTTTCATTTTGCAGTACAGCTCAGTATGCTAAGTACATAGTTTTTAACATTTAAATATTCGTGTATTTTGTCACATAATGATAATGAGCTCTCACGAAACAGAACTCTTGATTCAGAAAGGAGCATATTCTAAGAGTCTAATAACTAATAAATGTTATTTATTACATTAATTCTATGAAATTTATAAAAAGATAAAGCCACTAACTGAAAAAGAGGACCAAGAAAATTATTTCACAAGATTCTGAAAATGAATGGAAAAGAAAAAGGCAACTTTGTCTTCCCCTTAAGTTCTTTGGTGATCTGTCCGGTCATAAGTATATAAAGACGTGGCACTTTAATGGGTTATTATCAAGTACTTTGATACCTAATTGTTGAGACCTTACTGTAGTGAACAAATATGGGGTTTTTTTTGTTTTTTCCCCCGTGATTAAACTTTACCATCCCAGATTATTACAGTTTAAGGCTAATTGTCTTTATTGTTACAGTCATTGTTTTGGCCATTGATTCTCAGGTCAGTAAGCAAGCTATAAGCAATATAATTGTTTGCAGAGACAATAATTTCATCTCATTTTACATGCAAGCTGGGTTTTCCTTTTCAGTCTACATGAAGAAGCAATGTACTAAAAAATTCAAATGCTAACAAAGTAAGGACATTTTAATATATTGTCTTTGACCATGAAAGAAGCTTGTTTAAAAATGTTTAAAGTATCATTACTGTATATTTTGGAACAAAGTGCCTTTGTTTGTAGAGTTTATGTTGCATTTACAGTGGATGTAGGAGAGGAAATCTTTGAAAGATTGATACAATTTGACAATAATGAGAATGATATTCATAATATCCATAAAATTAAGTTTAGTTATAGCAGTTATGAGAAAAGGACTTTTAAAACATAAGTAACATTTTTATGTGAAATTTTAAGAAATCATTTTAATACATTTTATAAAGCATACTGCTTTATGTCAAGTACCCTTTTAAAAAATCCTAAATATTTTTGTTTTTTATTGTATATTTATAGTATTTTATTTCTTCTTGGCAACAATTTGGAAATTATATAGTAATGTATAAGAAAACATTTGTCTTGGATGATACCTGCTGTTATGGAATTATGTATTTTCCTTATATGCAATAATGGTATGTTTAGTTAAGAGAATTCATTCATAAAGAGGTGTGTTCTGGAACAAAATGTTTAGCATCAAATGTCATGATATCTCTAACTCATTTTTAAATGGATCAGTGAAACCTGGTGACTGTCTTTTGTGTGTGAGTGTGAGAGCCCACGTGCCTGTAGAGAGAGAACAAACATTGCGTAATGTTAACATTTGATGAATATTTGTGAAATTTATAGAGGTATTCTGAATTTTTTTGCATTTTTTGTAGGCTTGAAAATAAAAATTTCATGGTAAAAGGCTATATTCTTGAGTTTGTAACTGTATAATGAAAATTCAGAAAAGTTCACAAAAATCCCATTTAACCCAAAGGAAAATGAATTCCACCTATTCATTTGTAAGCAAAATAATGATTTTTTTAAAGTTTATATTCTAGCAAATTAAAAGTATTTCTTCCTCTTTTATGGCAACCAGTGTGCAAGTACTCGTATATCATTAAGAATTACATTATATATTTAAATCTATAGTGTCTTTTCTTCAGTAATATATTGAACATTCAAATAATTTTTGATCACTTAATATTTTAGTCATAGTCTCCTGGGATACTTAAACAAAGACGACATAACCTTTACTTTCAAAGAGATTTAATTTCATAGTGGGAAAGAGACCAGGTTAAAATAATAAAACCTAATGTGAGACAAAATGCAAGTATTTTATATCTCAGGCACTTAAGGAGCACTTGGGCCCTCGCGGGGCTACCCAGGGAGGGGCGGTTTGAGTGCCAGCTGCACTCTGAGGGGCGCGTTTCGACTGGCTGGTGACCTGGGTACAGCTTGTTACCCCTTATTAAATGGCTCCAAATTGTTTTACCTTTATAGTTTTTATGTCCCCTCCTGTTTTAAGCTGTCATTTTTTGGTGTTGCCAGTATGTGTCACTACTCCTATTTTCTTATTTTAAATAAGTGTAAGGGTTTCAATGTGACCTTGTGTTTCTCGGAGGCAACAATTTCTCAACCTTTAAAAAAAAACACTGATAAGTGTCTTGCCCTTCGGAACAGACATTTCGTAAATATTGTTGCAGATACAAAGCAATAAACTACAAGAAAACAGTGGCAAATACTTTTTGGCATTTTTCTAAAATACTTCCCTCCTGCCTCCCAGGCCACTTAGTGTGTCCGTGAGCTAAGCCCCAGGGGATCCAGCACGCAGAGTACGACACAGGTCAGGGTGCTGCTTCCTCCGTTCCTAGGGATTTGCTTGTTGTGAAGAGTGGCTTCGGTGAACACTTAAAAAATACGGTGTTTGGTCATATAAACGTGGTACTTCGAGAAATCAGGGAGGGTTGTATGTGCTGCTTTTATGGAGGGACCTTGTACAAGCCACATGTTTTTGAGGCTGTGTGGCACTAAAAGAATGAATTAAGGGAGTGGGCTTAAAAGGAAAAAGGAAAGTTCAGACAGAGAAAAAAACAAAGGAGAATATTTTCCCAGTAGAAATATACTTGTACTCTAATTTTTACTGGTTTATAGCCTCAAACAGCAAAAAGGTGTTTTATTTCTTCTGCATCTTTTAAAGCAACTGCACGGTGCTGGGTACCAGGGTGGGTGTATCACATCAGCCCTCATTCCCATCAGCCTTCAGTGCTTGCCTCCCTCGCTCCTGAAACCCGCACTAGCCTGTCATTTTGAAACTAGACAGGGAATGCACAGAGCGGCTGTTGAAGTTCCCTTGGATTGTTCCTTCTCTTATTTATTCATTTAGTCATGCAACAGACAAATGTTATTGAATGTCTACAGGGCACTGAGATTGAAATAATACAATCTTTGTCCATTACTCTCGAACAGTATCACCATGTAATTAATAGCCACGTACAGTGAGCTCTCTTCTGAAGCAAAGCAACCTGTGGTAACTATTGTAATAGAAGAATGAAAGTGCTGTGGGAACACATGATTTCGCTGGCACTAATTAATTTCCATTGGGAGAATTCTTAAGAGAAGTACGTTTCAGATTATGTTTAATAGAAAAGTAGGATTTCCACAGAGAAAATAGGCTGAGTGTTGCTAATGCAGAAAGGACATTCCTGGCTGAAGGGACATTTCATCCCATCTGTGCCAGAGCAGGTGAGTCTGGGAGAGAGTTCAGGCCTGCTATCTGGTGTTTGGATTGGTGAGTGGTCCGCAGGACCATCTTGTCTAGTGAGTGTTGAGGAGGGCTGTTGGGGGTGGGGAGCTGAGCAGGACAGAATAAGGTTGAGGCAAGAAATCTTAGAAGGCAAATAGGGGTGGTATGGGGTAGTTGAATGCCAGATTGCTCAGGATGTTCTACTTTTTTTGAATAAGGGATGATTATTGTATTTGTTTTCTTTTCACCATTTAGCATATTGCTGGAAACCTAATGACTTAAAACAACACAGTTTTACTGTCTTACGGTTTCTATTGGTCAAGAGCCTGCGTTTGTGTTAGCTGAGTTCTCAGCTCAGGGTATCACCAGGCTGAAATCGAGAGTTGGCCAGGGGTGCAGGCTTATTTGAGGCTCAGTGTCTTCTTCCAAGCTCATGGTTGTCAGAATTCATTTGCCTCTGGCTGTATAACTAAGGTCCCGTGTTCTTGTTAGGTATTGGATGGGGACCACTGTCGGTTCCTGGGGACCCCATCAGGTACTTGCCCGATAACCCCATCCTCTGACAACACCACTCGCTGTTTACCTCTTCAGGACTAGTTGGATGTTTGCTCTCACACTTCACATCTCTCATTTCAGGAAGGGCCCAGCCCCCTTTAAGGGCCCATCTGATTAGGCCAGATGCACCCAGGTTAATCTCCCATTTGAGTAATCCATAATCAACGCTTTGGTGATCATAATTATATCTCCACAGTTACTCCACCTTTGTTATATAACAACCTAATCAAGGGCATGAATGCATCAAATTCACAGTGTAGAGAAGGGCGATATACAGCTGTATACACAGGGGCAGGAATTACGGTGGCCGTCTTACAGTTCTCCTTACCACCAGGATACAGGGTGACTGCCCTCTCTGGTTCTTAATTGAATAGTGGTGGGGAAATTAGAAAACCTTTACAGTAATTTGTCCTCTTTGTCCTCTTCCCTACTCCTTAACCAACAGTGCTTCACAACTGGAAGCACAATGATAAAGTGAGATAGAAGATCTTGCACATTTTGAATAGATAAGGTGAAATTTGGCCAAATTGGTCTTTTCCATCAGCAGCTTGTCTCTCTCCTGTCTCCTTCCCTCTCTCTCTCTCCCTCCCTCATATATTTCCATCTTCATATTATTCATTTTCCATCACAGTGATCAAAAACAAGAAGAAAATCTGCTAGAACAGTAAAAAGGAAATTGAGTACATACTGGAGCTTGCAGCACCCAAAGATTTTAATTCTTCAGTATGAATTTCACGTGAAATTACCTTTCCAATCAATTGCTATATAAATTATTACATAAAGGTTTAAAAATGATAAAATTTTCATTTGTTTTCTTTTATATGTGAGTACGTGTGTGTATATGGAGAGATATTTAGTAAAACTAAATCCATTATTTCAACTTAGAAATTATTGTAAAAACAATGTATATTATACAGCAATAAAAATTAGCACTAGTAATTAAGCACTGCTTACAAGTAACTGACAATTACATAATTAGTTCACATACATGAGCAGTAATTTCAAGGCAGTGTGAATTGAATGAATTTTAGATGTAACAGTTACATATATTTTGCAAGTTTTCCAGAATCTTACTCAGTGACTTACCCAAAGATTTTAAAATTAGTGTATTAATATTTAGGTTTCCTCCACTTATTCAGTGGCTGTGATTACTTAGTAAAGTCTATCAAAGTCTTTTAACCCTCCTACTGATTAGTTTAATTGATGGTATCTTTTGCATGATATTTCTGTTAGTCCAGTAAATTCAGCTTTTGTATCTAATACATGCCATGAAATGTAATTGATATTGGGAGTCATCTTTTTTTAAATGATTTCTGGACTTCTGAAAACCTTGAGATTCACAATATATTGAAAGCTAATGAGACGTCTACTTGAGAACTGCCATGTTAAAATCTCCACATAGAAAACATTCAAGAATTTCCAAAATGGTTTTGAAGCAATCTGTTGCTAGCAATTAAGCCATAAGGTATTTTTCAGTGATTATATATTTTTCAGTGTTTGGGAGTATCAGATATTATTGCTTGATTATTCTGTTAGATTGGTATTTAAAAATTCATCAAGACAATAATGTGATCTTTTCTTGTAAAGATAGATGGATATTTTGCCTTCTGGTTCTCAAGTGAGCACACTGGTGTCTCTGTAACCCTAATACGTTTTCAGAGTGCATTTGCTCACCTTGCCTTGGTGGGTGGGAGCTGGAAGCCTGTTTTGCCTGACCAGACTTGGTCTGGCAGGAGGGGAGTTGGGGCAGCTGCAGTGCTCTGGGAGTTTCTTCACGTGTAGTGGACTTTGGTGGCAGCCTGGAGAAGAACCTCTGGGCTTAAGAATAATTGGAGGACTGACTCCGACTCATTTGCTCCTGAAGAGTATCTTTATGGGGCCCTTCTGCATATGCTCCTGTGGATGGAGGATGGGGTGGGAGCTGAAGAGAAGTCAGTAGGGGACCTTCAACCATGATTGCTGGATTTGCTGATGCCGCTAATAATTTCCATTGAAATTTTCCAGGGTCGAAGTCTTGTCCTCTTTCTACATATAAAACAACTAGAATCCAGTGAAAAGGAATTAGTATCTAGTTATAAAATAAGTTCTGAATGGCCCGTGACATCTCAGACTTAACCGATAACTTCTCAGATTCCAGAACAGTGCTGGCAAGCCAGGGAATCGGGTCAGTGGCAGCCGCTGAGCCAGGCTTCCTCTTGGTCCTGCTTCTGAGACGCTCTGCCCCTCCTCTTTTCCTATAATGTTCAAAAGTAAGGAGACTTGTTGAATGCCAGGTGCTCAGGGTGGTGAACAGAATAGAAACAATGTCTCAGAGAACTCCAGTTAAACAAAGAGTACTGATAAGTAATCAGATCTTTACAAGATAGCATTGCGATGACTTGCCATGACTTCTGCAATAGGGAACATTATAGAAGGTGCTTTGGGAGCCCCTCAAGTGGCTGTTTCACTCAGACTGGAGGGGTGAAGGAGTACTTCTGGGGGAGACAGTGTCCACGCAAAGTGAAGGGATGAGTAGGGACTAAGAGGAGTGTGGATGCTTCATGCAGAGGCGGCAGCAGAGCAGATGGAGAGCTGGGAGAGGAGGTGTGTGCGCTGGGCAGCGTGTGGCCAGGGCAGGGAAGGGTGGGGAGTAACGCCGTGACACCTGTGGCCTGGTTAAGGAGTTTAGACTCATAAAAAAGTGTGTGAACGACTTAAGTCTTGTAAGTAGGGACGTGCGGTGATCAGTTCTGCATTTGAGAATTTCATGTCTGGAGAAGAGCGAGACCTGGGGCAAGGAGCCGTCAGGAGGACTGGTCCAGGTGGCCGTGGGGGTGGTTTTGAGAGACTCAGAAGAACACTCAAGAACACCCAGTTTTCCTTGCCTCTATTATCTTTCTCCTTCCCCTACCTTCTTTTGTTTTCCCCCATTTGTCTGTGTTCTGTAGTGTCTCTTGCTTCAGTTGTCAGTGTGTTGACCTCTGTTTCTTCATTCCTTGCTCACGTAAAATGTATACTATTTGACTTTTACAATTTTAGGTATGATTTATGTACAATGAAAGGCAGACAATTTAAGATACACTGCTGTGAGTTTTGACAACTAAGGGCCCCTGCATAGCCACCGTCACGATCTGCACACACACCTTTCCTCACTCCTAAGTGTTCCTCTGGGCGTCTGGCCTCTCACCCCAGCCCAGGTGGCTGGTCTGCTTTTCATCACTGTAGAGTATGTTTGTCTTTCCAGAGTTCCATGTGAATGGTATCATACTCTGAATGCTCTTTTGTGTCTGTCTGGTTTCTTTCAGTATTTGGGAACTTCATCCCTGGTTTTGTGCATACTGTTAGACCATTCCTTTTTTATGGCGGATGGTGGTTCAGTTTATGGCTGTACGATTGTTTATCCATTCACCTGTTAATTTGTCCATTGACTTTACTACTGCATAAGTCTTTTTCTCCCTAATTGAAACATAATATTAAAAATTTGTTTTGGCATTAAAATGCTTTGTCAAATTAAAATATTTATTAAGTAATTTTTTATTCCTGATTGAGTTTTAAAAGTGGCCAAGTCAGTTTATCATCTTCTCAAAAGGAAAACAGTTATAAATTATCTTGAATTAATAGCTCTGATTATAACTAAATGCCCATATCCCTCTTTCATGTTCAGCTTTTACATGAATTTGGGCAAAGAAGTCTTTGTGATACAGGTTATTATCTCAAGTGGTTTTATGTGTTTTTTCTTAATCTCTTGTTTTTCTCTATAAAGTGGCAATTCAAGATTTCTAGCAAGTAAATGTCCAACAGGATAAATGAAGCTTTGAAGCCAAGCTAAATTATGTTGCAGTTTGACTTTTTAAATATTTTCTTCTATGTGTATTTTCCATTAGGAGTCATTAAATGGCTAGTTTGCACAATTATAACAGAGACAATAAATGTGCAAGGAAAAATATCCCTAAAGTTTATGGTCCTGAGTTGTGATTCGAGAATTACAGCCATAACTAACTTAATAACAAGCAGATTGAAGGTGGACTTGTCATCTCACAATGTTATTTTGACATTACATGATGACCTTTCTATAATAGCAACTGTTATTTTTAAAAATTCCTCATAGGCACTGTTGATATGATAGAACAATATAGAGATGTCAGTTTTATGGCTTCAAAGATCTGTGCATTTTGTAAACATATTACACTTATAGTTTGGCAGTACAGAGATCAGGAAGAGAATGCTTCCATTAAAGTGATCAACTACGCGTGTAGAAATTGGGTTGGAAGACGTGTGAAAGGCTTTTAGATGAAATCTGGTTTTGTGTATAAATTGCCTCTACTGCATATATAACTCTCATAATGCTTCGGGGTAATTTAGCAAGTACAGCAGTGGAAATGGTCTCTGTGCAAACTGATTTTAAAGAAGGAAGTGTATAAATGGCTTTATGATAAGTCTGTCTGCTGCTCAGCTGTTATACTGCATTAATCAACTCTTCCAGCCTTCTTTCTGTTTTCTTACACAGTTGATTAAAACTTTAATTAACTTTTACTATTTCAGCTGTTTTACTATCCATTCTTAAAACAGTTATAAGTAAAAATAAAAACTCATTTGTGCTTGCCTGCTACTTGGAGCCATGTGTCTTCATGCCTCAGAGCATTATTATTTCATTAACCGACTGAAAGTGAACCCTCACGGAAGCCTAATTATTTTTCGAATCCTTTTGGTACACTCTTGCCGAGTACATTTAACATTTTATTTAATAGTGAAATCCATTTTAAATCAGATACTATTCTTCAATAAATACTTTCACTTTTAGAAATTTCAGATGGGCATTTTAAAAAAGCAGTACTTTCTTCTTGGTGCCTTATTTTCCTCTGTTAACATACTTCTAAGTGCTTCTCTATCTCAGAAATGTACGGGGTTTTGTTTCTTACCTGTACCTATCAATTCTGATTACCTTCTTTGTGTTTTTTTTTCCTCCTGAATTCCAGATTTCCTCCTCTGATGCTCCTCTTCAGCCTTTGGTATCCTCTCCTTCTCGACAAGCTGCTGTTGAAAAAAACAAATTGGAGGTATGGTAGTGTTTAGTCAGCCACATTATGTAGCATTCAGTGGTCAGTTAACTTCCTTTCAGAGTGTGCCATAATTTGGGAGTGCTGTAATAGTTGTTTACATTTTAAATGGTCTCCAGTATTAAATACATTAAATATAACACCTTCTAGAGTATTTTCCTTTGCTACAGGTAGTTTTCATAGGCTTTATGTTTAATTTCAGAGTGACCGATTTACTGATATCGTAGAGATATCTCAACATTTAAGAAGCAATTCGTTTTTTGTTGTTTTCATTGCTACCTTATACTTATAGGAACTTTTTAAGTAGTTGCTGTTGAATTCCATGATCTATTTAGGAAAATCTTTGACTAAAGTTTTTTTTATGATTCTGTTATTATAAGCACTAGCAGAAAGTTACTGTCACTTCTCTTTTAAGGAACAGTAACCACTATATAGAAGCAGTGTATGTATGTAATATGGAATCTTAAGTTTAGAGTCATCAGTGATAAGTGTTTGAATGTGTTTGGGGTGGCCCGGGTTAGGGTGCATGATACCACCATTATGGATTTTTTAAGTCATCCCTGAGAACATTTGAGGGTTTTCATTTTTTATTTTTACTCTTTAGTTTTCTCTTTTGTTATACTGACCTTAAAGAATTAGTTTGAGATGCTCTTTCAGCTGACACTTTTTCTTTGTCTACCCCTTGATAAATGTGGTGCTAGACATGGAGGACACAAAGGCAAGGTGTAGGTCCTACCTTTGAGAAGCTTATAGTGTAAGGGTGGAAAACATACATTTACAGAGGTTTCTAATGTAATGTAGTATGTGCTCTGATATACACTTGCTGTACTGTTAATACAGGAGGCATGCTTTTGATACATCTTAAATTCTTAAACTTCAGCTTTAAGGACTGGGATGCATCCAAGTAGAGAAAGCAAGGTGTGAAGAATCCTGTGGGCAAAGTGGGATATTCGCAGATTTGCAAGTGGAATGGCGTGACTGGAACATGCATAGGACAGGGAGAGAAACGGGAGAGTAGCCTTCTGAAGGAGTTAGGTCTCCGTCCGGACGCCCCTGGCACTTCTTGTGACGAGTTTCAGGAGCAGGAAGGGTAACAGGAACTGATTTTCATGTCATGACACTGGTCCTCCGTGTCTGTGGAGAGGGAATTTCATGCTGATGGGTGTGGAAAAGGCTTGAGAACCTGTTGCTCTGATCCATAAATAAAATGATGGGGACATGTGCCAAAACAGAGGCAGAGGGAATGAAAGGAGAGTTTAATTCTAAGAGATCTTGAGGAATCTTGAGAATCTTTGGGATTAAGTAATCACTAGATTGTAGAGGTGCTTTGGGAAGCCTTGATGACTCCGGCTTTTGGCTTGAGCATCTCAGCACATAATACACTATCCAGTGAGAAAAAGTTACTAAAGCTTGAGCTAGAAGTTGGCTGTGGTGGTAGGAGATGGCTGGGGATATCCAGGTGTCTGGCGGGTGTCTGGATGTGAAGGTCTGTAGCCTCGAGGAAAGGTGGAGACGGGAGTGAGAGGTGGAGACTGAGAGGCAGCCCCAGGGGTGTGCTGAGTAGCGAGAGGAGAGGAGAGCCGGGAGAACGCGTGAGCTGGCGAGTCAGCAGAGTGGGGGGGTCCCTAAGGAGCCTGTGGGGGCGGTTTGTCTTGGATCAGCACCCTGGCCCCGAGGAAGCACTGTAGTAGCGTGGAGCTTGCCATGAGAAGGCAGATGTCAAAGGCACATTTGTTCTTTTCAAAATTTGCCCAGAAGCTGTGCTGTCACCTGGGGAAAAGGGTGGAAACCCTCAAATTATACTTATGTTCCATGTGATTCCTGCCTCCAAATCTTAGAAAGTAGTGGACATGGGCAGTTCAAGATGGCAGAGTAGGAAGACCCTGAAGTCACCTCCTCCCATGGACACACCGAATCTATAGCTACATATACAACAATTTTTTTTCCTGAAGTAGACCTGATAACTAGGTGAACAGCTCCTCCAGAAACGGGGTAAAAAGGCCACATGCAGATGGGTAGAAGTCACAGAGACATAGTCTTGCCAAAACCCCACCCTCTGAGCTGCGACCCACAAGCAGGAGCGATTCCACAAAAAGGGAGCATATATCTGAGGAGCAAGGGTTTCAGGGCTCTCATCAAACACCCCAAGCGTTGGACCTGCACCAGAGAGAAGAGCCCCCAGAAAGTCTGCTTTGAAAACCAGTGGGCTTACGTCCAGCATACCTGAAGGGCGGAAGGACACTGAGACCTGACTCTTAAAGGGCTGGTGCACAGACTCACCCACCCAGGGACCCAACACAAAAGCAGCAAGTTAAGAAGTGCGTAGCCCGAATGAGGAGATACTTGACTAAAGCGTCCGCCAGGGGGCGTGGCTGCTAGAATTCTCCCTTGGGATGGGCTGACAGGCACCATTTTTGCACTCTCCCCTACCTTGCCAGCACTGTTTGCCCTGCCCCTACACCCTTCTGCCACCCCAGCCTGACAAACAGTGCGGCCCTGACGTGATTTCATATATTGAAAACCCTTAATACTTAACCAAAAAACTTTTAGAACTAACTAATGAATGTAATAAAGTGGAAAAATTAAAAATTGATAAAAACCTCGTGTTTTTATATGCTAACAAGCCATCAGAAAGAGAAAGCACGAAAGCAATCCCATTTACATTTGCTCCAAAAGTAATAAAATATTTAGAAATAAACTGAACCAAAATATTTAGAAATAAAATGAACTGTACACCAAAAAATACAATGTATTGATGAAAGAAAATTGAAGAAGACACGAATAAATGGAGAGATGTCCCGTGCTCACGGATTGGAAGAGTTAATGTTAAAGTGTCCGTATTACCAAAGCAATCTAGATTCAGTGTATTTCCTATCAAAATCCCAGTGACGTTTTTCACAGAAATAGAACAAACAATCCAAAACTTACATGGAAACTCAAAAGATCCCAAATAGTCAAAGCAATCTTGGGAAATACAAACAAGCTGGAGGTGTCATGCACCGTGATTTCAAAGTATATTACAAAGTTCGAGTGATCAAAACAGTATGATACTGGCATAAAAACAGACACAGAGATCAATGGAGCACAACAGAAAAAACAAATAAATCCATGCATATATGATCAGTTAATTTACAGCAAGTAAGGCAAGAATGTATAAGTAGGAACAGACAGTGTCTTCAATAAATGGTGTTGGAAAAACTGGACAGCCATGTGCAAAAAAATGAAACTGTACCAGCATCTTACACCATACATGAAAAATAACTCAAAATGGCTTAAAGACTTGCATGTGAGACCTGAAACCATAAAGCTAGAAAAAAAACAAGTGATAAATTCCTTGACATTAGTTTTAGTGATTTATTTTGGATCTCCAATGGCAAGGGCATCAAAAGCAGAAATAACAAACTGAAAAGATTCTGCGCAGCGAAGGAAACCATCACGGAAATAAAAGGCAGTGTAGTCACTGGGAGATGGTATTTGCGAGCCATAAACCATATAAAGAACTTGCACAACTCAATAACCCCTCCCTCCAAAAAAAAGCCAATTAAAAAAATGGGCAGAGGATCTGAGTAGACATTTTTGCAAAGAAGACATACACATGGCCAACAGGCACATGAGAAGATGTTCGCCATCACTGATCACCAGGGGAATGCAAATCGGAACCACAAAGAGGTGTTGCCTCACACCTGTTGGAATGATTATCATCAAAAAGGTAAGATAGCAGGTGTTCATGAGGATGTGTAGAGAGGAGAACCCTTGTGCAATTCCACTTCTGGGTATATATCCTAAGAAAAGAAAAACACTGGTGTGAAAAAATACATAAATACATGCAGCTCCATGTTCATTACAGCACTGTTTACAATAGCCAAGATACAGAAACAACCAGTGCATCCATTAGTGGATGAATGGATAAAGAAGGTGTGTGTGTGTATACATATACTAAGCCATAAAAAAATGGAATTTTCCCAAATATTTATGACAGTGGACCTGACCCTTGAGGATTATGCTAAGTGAAATATGTCAGATAAAGACAAATACCATATGATTTCACTTACAAGTGGAATTCAGAAAAAACCACAAAATAAAACAAAACCCAGATTCATAGATACAGAGAACAGAGTGGTGGTTGCCAGAAAGGAGGGTTAGGGGAGGGGTGCAAAATGGATGAAGGGGATCAAGAGGTACAAACTTACAGTTATAAATAAGTCATGGAGATGTAAGGTACAGCAGAGAGGCCGCAGTCAACAGTAATGTGTATTATGTATCTTTATATGCTGACAGGGCAGTGACCTACTGTGTTGATGATTTCGCAGTGTATACTGCGAAAAATGTGGAATCATCACGCTGTACACTGAAACTAGTATTATGTTCTTTATGTTAATTATACCTTAATTAAAAAAGAAAGCAGTGGTCTAATTCAGTGGTCTCCAAAGCCCGATGTCTGTACCGTTAGACATTAGGGACACCCCGGGCAGTCCATTTAGAATGTCTGTTCATGCTTTTTTTCTTATCCTTCTAAATTTTCAATATTTATGTTTTTATAGTATGCATAATGCAGTGCTATATGTGCTTTATAAATAAATATATACATATGGCAAAGTATGTATGCTTACAACTCTAAGATGGGAGTATATAATCAGAAATTTTGGAGACTGTATCAGTAATTAAATCACTCAAGTTAGTTTGATTATAATAAACCCAATATGTATTTTTCTCTGTTTGTAGGACTTGAACGTTTATTTCAGCTTTATTATGCAGGAGGTCTTCAATTTCACTGTTATCATTTGTATAGATACAGCAACCAAGTTTCAGGAGCTGTTGTTTTATACCAAACGCAGCTATATTTTGTTCTTGCTTAGAATGTTTTAAACAACTTAGGTTCCCACAGTACTCTGATCTTTCAGCAGCTTCTGATTCTAAATATGGGAGTCATCTGTGGGTCAAACAGTATGATCTGAGTTTAGAGCCCATGTTTTTAATGGTACTTCAGAGCTGGTGTCATGCTACCACTGTTGGAATCAGAGTGGATGGCAGCCATATTTTGACAGCTGAAATTCCAGTGTTAAAGAGCATTGGTTTGTGCTTTCCCTGTATTAAAAACAGCTAATTTAGTTCACTTTTGGTGATTTCTTATGTGCCCACCATGTGCAGTGATTAGAAAGATGAGCTTCTTTCCCAGTGTCATGACAAGGGCTTCCTTAAGAAATAGTAGCTTTGAGAAGTTATAGAACAGTCATCCCCAGCATGTTGGTGAGAATGTTGAATGGTAATGCTTTCTTCACCAAACTTGACTAATAGTATCTAGAAAACATATTATTATATATAAAGGATTTTGCACATCTCATTTATTCTTCACTTATTAAGTGGGAATACTAATACTTACCTCATAAAGTTGTGATTAAATGAGTCAAAAAGTCTGGCACACAGTAAGGGCTCAGTAAGATCAGCCGTTGTACATTATGACGACGATAATCAGCAGCAGTGCCCCCTGAGCAGCCGTGAGGCCTGAGGCTTCAGAGCCCGCGCCCCGTCGTCCCTCAGCCCACCACTGATCGCCTGGGTCGCTTTGTGCCTTACTGTCCTGAGGTTTCGTTTCTTCATTTGTAGAACAATAATAATGACTTTGTTTTCGGACAGTTATTTTATAGATGAGATTAGAAATTATGGTGCTTATCACAGTATCTGGCCCATAGGAACTTCTATTATATGTCTCACATTATGGCCTAGGAATTGCTGGATTATCTTCCCTCATTTATAAATAGCAAAAGTTCTACTTTTGAGAGAGTTTGTCAAACACCATTTTAGAGAGACAGGTGCAAATGCATCCTTCAGGCATTTTGACTTAAGTTTTATGTGTTTATCACTCTGCCTGGCCTGAGTCCGTCAGTCTATCTTTGCGTGTTTGCTGCTAGGGCACTAAGGTCTGGGCCAGTGCTCAGTCGCAGTGGCCATCTGGGCCCAGGTCTCTGCACATCTCTGCTCCCTAAATGCCTTGTGAATGCTCTTTGTTTAAACCTTTATTTCATTTTCCTTTTGGGGACATGTTTTTGGCCCTTAATTTTTTAGTATTCTATTGTTTCATCCTTTTTGGAGATGTAACTGAACATCATAGTATCATTATAATATAGTTTACCTGGACTGGATTGGATGAAATACATTAACTAGTCAGTCAGCTCTGGTCCTCAAGCACTGTCTTCAACATTTATTTTTAAGGAATCTATTGTTTTTGCCCTTTTAAAAACCACAACATTAGTAATGGAGTGGAACTGTTTTGTGATACTTTAAACAATTAAAGGGTTTTTTACTCTTTCTCCCCTGTGTTTACATGTTAAAATCTGTCTTCATCTGTGTGATAGGAATTCTGTTTGGTCAGTTAGTTTAATTTTTCTTCTTATTCAAATTTCAGCTTTGTGGTTGAAGCCTAGCCTTGCATAAAGATGCAGTGAGAATCTATTGAACAAAGGTCTCATTTGTTTAAAACTGTAAAATATCAAAGTTCTAAATAGCCTAATCTGTCTTAATTTTTTAAATACATTCTTTTTTGTGTTGTCAACGTACTAACTCACTGAGAGTGTGAATTTGCTGTGTGTAGTTTCATACTGTCATCATTGAATATTTATACCTCTCTTGAAAGTTGACTCAAACTAATAAAAGAGTGTTAAGAGCTGACATTTAAAAAAATAAATCAACTTATCAAACCTTTGGTGTATGTTTTAGAAAGAAAAGGAAAAAAAAAAGGAAGAGAAAAAGAGAGAAAAGGAGCCAGAAAAGCCTGTAAAACCTCTTACAGCTGAAAAGGTAAAATTCCTTCTTAAAAAGCCTATAATGATTACCATCTTATTTGTGTACCCGTAGATGAGTGACTTTTGGGTATTAATGATATGCAAATAATCCTTCTTTCAACAAGTGTTATATTGAGTTAATACTGTGTGCCGCCCACACCCTTCCAGCGTGTCCTGTATAATGTGTTACGTGTTACATGTGTGTGGGTATTGATCACCTGAGTTCCTCAAGGGCAAGTTCTTCTCATTAATAATGCAAAGATGAGTGTTTTTAGCGTTCATGCACAATCAGACTTCAGTGAAAGTTTGTAGAATGAAGCGATCATACCTGAAGTGGCCTTCAGAAAAGATCACGCTTGAGGTTAGCATTTGAGCTGCGTTTTGAAGTGTTGGCAGCATGAAGGTAGAAGGCGGGAGAATGTTGATCGGAGGGACACCTTGAGGGCAGGCATGCAAGCTGGAGATAGACAAAGTATGTTTAGAAAATTGTGGTGGGGTTTGAAGAAAGATCCATGTCTATGTGTAGGAAGTAGTGTGAGGTAAGACCAGAATGGTGGATTGGGCTCAAATTGTAGAGGACCTTAGAGTCCAGGTTGATTGATTTTTGGAGAAAGGCAGAAAGCAGCATTTCAAAATTTCTAAAGCAGGTGATACACCTAAATCAAGAAGGTTCTTTGGGAGATTTTTTTGGCAGTGACAGGCAGGACAGGTATGACTAGGTAAATGGGAGCGAGCAGGAACATTAGATTTCTGTAAAGTCATTGGTTAAATACTTACAGTGGCTTGGCTTTGAATGCGCTTCACCATACAAATGTGGAAGCATGGTAAAGGAATTGTTTGTTAGTGAAAGGAGCATCCTTAATTTTTTTGTTGAAATTTTAAAAATTAACTTAATCAGAGCATAAGTTACGTACTACAGAGCGCATCCATTTGAAGTGTACGGTGCAGGCAGGTGCTGGTGCTCTCTGTTGTTTCACAGAGCAGTCTCTACCTTTAAGGAGTTACAGCATGCCTTCCTCCCTTAGATGCACTGAGTATCCCAAGATATCCTCAGCCCTTCATGTAGCAGTCAAAAGCATCCACCATCTGACATCTGACCCTTCACCAACCTTCCCACCATGCCCCTTCCGTTCTTCATGTCTGTCAGGCTTGTCCATTGTCACCTAAACATACTTTTCATCTCTCTGTTCACAAAATTGCTTTGNATACAGAAACAACCAGTGCATCCATTAGTGGATGAATGGATAAAGAAGGTGTGTGTGTGTATACATATACTAAGCCATAAAAAAATGGAATTTTCCCAAATATTTATGACAGTGGACCTGACCCTTGAGGATTATGCTAAGTGAAATATGTCAGATAAAGACAAATACCATATGATTTCACTTACAAGTGGAATTCAGAAAAAACCACAAAATAAAACAAAACCCAGATTCATAGATACAGAGAACAGAGTGGTGGTTGCCAGAAAGGAGGGTTAGGGGAGGGGTGCAAAATGGATGAAGGGGATCAAGAGGTACAAACTTACAGTTATAAATAAGTCATGGAGATGTAAGGTACAGCAGAGAGGCCGCAGTCAACAGTAATGTGTATTATGTATCTTTATATGCTGACAGGGCAGTGACCTACTGTGTTGATGATTTCGCAGTGTATACTGCGAAAAATGTGGAATCATCACGCTGTACACTGAAACTAGTATTATGTTCTTTATGTTAATTATACCTTAATTAAAAAAGAAAGCAGTGGTCTAATTCAGTGGTCTCCAAAGCCCGATGTCTGTACCGTTAGACATTAGGGACACCCCGGGCAGTCCATTTAGAATGTCTGTTCATGCTTTTTTTCTTATCCTTCTAAATTTTCAATATTTATGTTTTTATAGTATGCATAATGCAGTGCTATATGTGCTTTATAAATAAATATATACATATGGCAAAGTATGTATGCTTACAACTCTAAGATGGGAGTATATAATCAGAAATTTTGGAGACTGTATCAGTAATTAAATCACTCAAGTTAGTTTGATTATAATAAACCCAATATGTATTTTTCTCTGTTTGTAGGACTTGAACGTTTATTTCAGCTTTATTATGCAGGAGGTCTTCAATTTCACTGTTATCATTTGTATAGATACAGCAACCAAGTTTCAGGAGCTGTTGTTTTATACCAAACGCAGCTATATTTTGTTCTTGCTTAGAATGTTTTAAACAACTTAGGTTCCCACAGTACTCTGATCTTTCAGCAGCTTCTGATTCTAAATATGGGAGTCATCTGTGGGTCAAACAGTATGATCTGAGTTTAGAGCCCATGTTTTTAATGGTACTTCAGAGCTGGTGTCATGCTACCACTGTTGGAATCAGAGTGGATGGCAGCCATATTTTGACAGCTGAAATTCCAGTGTTAAAGAGCATTGGTTTGTGCTTTCCCTGTATTAAAAACAGCTAATTTAGTTCACTTTTGGTGATTTCTTATGTGCCCACCATGTGCAGTGATTAGAAAGATGAGCTTCTTTCCCAGTGTCATGACAAGGGCTTCCTTAAGAAATAGTAGCTTTGAGAAGTTATAGAACAGTCATCCCCAGCATGTTGGTGAGAATGTTGAATGGTAATGCTTTCTTCACCAAACTTGACTAATAGTATCTAGAAAACATATTATTATATATAAAGGATTTTGCACATCTCATTTATTCTTCACTTATTAAGTGGGAATACTAATACTTACCTCATAAAGTTGTGATTAAATGAGTCAAAAAGTCTGGCACACAGTAAGGGCTCAGTAAGATCAGCCGTTGTACATTATGACGACGATAATCAGCAGCAGTGCCCCCTGAGCAGCCGTGAGGCCTGAGGCTTCAGAGCCCGCGCCCCGTCGTCCCTCAGCCCACCACTGATCGCCTGGGTCGCTTTGTGCCTTACTGTCCTGAGGTTTCGTTTCTTCATTTGTAGAACAATAATAATGACTTTGTTTTCGGACAGTTATTTTATAGATGAGATTAGAAATTATGGTGCTTATCACAGTATCTGGCCCATAGGAACTTCTATTATATGTCTCACATTATGGCCTAGGAATTGCTGGATTATCTTCCCTCATTTATAAATAGCAAAAGTTCTACTTTTGAGAGAGTTTGTCAAACACCATTTTAGAGAGACAGGTGCAAATGCATCCTTCAGGCATTTTGACTTAAGTTTTATGTGTTTATCACTCTGCCTGGCCTGAGTCCGTCAGTCTATCTTTGCGTGTTTGCTGCTAGGGCACTAAGGTCTGGGCCAGTGCTCAGTCGCAGTGGCCATCTGGGCCCAGGTCTCTGCACATCTCTGCTCCCTAAATGCCTTGTGAATGCTCTTTGTTTAAACCTTTATTTCATTTTCCTTTTGGGGACATGTTTTTGGCCCTTAATTTTTTAGTATTCTATTGTTTCATCCTTTTTGGAGATGTAACTGAACATCATAGTATCATTATAATATAGTTTACCTGGACTGGATTGGATGAAATACATTAACTAGTCAGTCAGCTCTGGTCCTCAAGCACTGTCTTCAACATTTATTTTTAAGGAATCTATTGTTTTTGCCCTTTTAAAAACCACAACATTAGTAATGGAGTGGAACTGTTTTGTGATACTTTAAACAATTAAAGGGTTTTTTACTCTTTCTCCCCTGTGTTTACATGTTAAAATCTGTCTTCATCTGTGTGATAGGAATTCTGTTTGGTCAGTTAGTTTAATTTTTCTTCTTATTCAAATTTCAGCTTTGTGGTTGAAGCCTAGCCTTGCATAAAGATGCAGTGAGAATCTATTGAACAAAGGTCTCATTTGTTTAAAACTGTAAAATATCAAAGTTCTAAATAGCCTAATCTGTCTTAATTTTTTAAATACATTCTTTTTTGTGTTGTCAACGTACTAACTCACTGAGAGTGTGAATTTGCTGTGTGTAGTTTCATACTGTCATCATTGAATATTTATACCTCTCTTGAAAGTTGACTCAAACTAATAAAAGAGTGTTAAGAGCTGACATTTAAAAAAATAAATCAACTTATCAAACCTTTGGTGTATGTTTTAGAAAGAAAAGGAAAAAAAAAAGGAAGAGAAAAAGAGAGAAAAGGAGCCAGAAAAGCCTGTAAAACCTCTTACAGCTGAAAAGGTAAAATTCCTTCTTAAAAAGCCTATAATGATTACCATCTTATTTGTGTACCCGTAGATGAGTGACTTTTGGGTATTAATGATATGCAAATAATCCTTCTTTCAACAAGTGTTATATTGAGTTAATACTGTGTGCCGCCCACACCCTTCCAGCGTGTCCTGTATAATGTGTTACGTGTTACATGTGTGTGGGTATTGATCACCTGAGTTCCTCAAGGGCAAGTTCTTCTCATTAATAATGCAAAGATGAGTGTTTTTAGCGTTCATGCACAATCAGACTTCAGTGAAAGTTTGTAGAATGAAGCGATCATACCTGAAGTGGCCTTCAGAAAAGATCACGCTTGAGGTTAGCATTTGAGCTGCGTTTTGAAGTGTTGGCAGCATGAAGGTAGAAGGCGGGAGAATGTTGATCGGAGGGACACCTTGAGGGCAGGCATGCAAGCTGGAGATAGACAAAGTATGTTTAGAAAATTGTGGTGGGGTTTGAAGAAAGATCCATGTCTATGTGTAGGAAGTAGTGTGAGGTAAGACCAGAATGGTGGATTGGGCTCAAATTGTAGAGGACCTTAGAGTCCAGGTTGATTGATTTTTGGAGAAAGGCAGAAAGCAGCATTTCAAAATTTCTAAAGCAGGTGATACACCTAAATCAAGAAGGTTCTTTGGGAGATTTTTTTGGCAGTGACAGGCAGGACAGGTATGACTAGGTAAATGGGAGCGAGCAGGAACATTAGATTTCTGTAAAGTCATTGGTTAAATACTTACAGTGGCTTGGCTTTGAATGCGCTTCACCATACAAATGTGGAAGCATGGTAAAGGAATTGTTTGTTAGTGAAAGGAGCATCCTTAATTTTTTTGTTGAAATTTTAAAAATTAACTTAATCAGA